CTTAAAATATCTGTTGGGTCACTTTAATGAATAAGCTCACTTCTTTGCCATAAAACTTGTCCTGGGTGAGTATTCCATAAAACATTACAAATGTACAAAGAGGGACAATTTAATTTTAGGGGTGAGAGTAGTGATGTTGCTGTTCTGAGAAATATTAAGTGACTTACTAATAATAATTCATGCAACTAAATTGTAATATAGAACAAGAACAATGTATCTAATTTACAAAGACTGATTTCTAAAAACTTTTATTTTAGCTTGAAGACTGTTATATATGCAGTATTTGCAAAAAAATTTTTTAAAAACTAACCGCACTCCAATCACGTGAAGACCCTTGACAAAGACTCTTTTAGGGGTCGAAGATACTATGAGTGCCTGTATCCTCTTTCTACTTCTGTTATACATTCAGTCACATCAATAATATGGAACTTCTAGATGAAAGGGACATTAGGTGGAAAAGAGGGACAGAGGGATTTGGGGAAAAAGTAGGGACTGTCACGCCTAAATAGGGACAGTTGGGAAGTATGACAAAGTAATGACTAGATGCATGGCGTGAAACCGGGAGAGTGCAAAGTCTTGATTGCATCCCTCATCTAGTTCCACAGTTTCCTTCTTTATATAAATCCAGCCGCAAACAATGTTCAGTACCAGCCAAGAATAATCCAAGTCTCACCTCTCTTGGAGAGAGGTTAACAACTTAACCAAAGTGCTGTATTTCTATTAGTTTGCTCAATGCCAACCTATGATTTGTTTACATTGGAAGGATCATAGATTCTTATTGGACTAATATGTCCTTGTCTTGCGTGATGTGTTTATTCAGCTGCAATACTCAATGGCCGGTTTTCTACCAAGCCTGGTAAATTAAAGATTACAGAGGTGTGACAAGTTGGTACATTCTTATATCCCTTGTTCATTAAGTTGAAGGTATGTTTCTTGTCAGATTATAAAATACAGAACTCTGTAGTGGTTTGGATATATTTCATTTCTATAGCTGGATACTGTTACCTTTTAAAATTGACTTTACCATTTTAATCTACAAATGTTCTATCCAAAGGAACACTCCAAACACAATAACCACTACAGTATGCCCTGGCGCCCCCTTGTAAGCAGTGATACCCTTTTAGAATGGTTTGACTTCATAAGTGGCATCCTCCGAGCACTATTCTCCGCCTCCTCTCTACAGCCAGGAGAGTCAGGAGGAACAGAGAACATAGTGGGTGGAGGAAAATGGGGTGAGTATACTGCTTGGGTAGCATGGGAATTTTTCAGAGATGTGGATAGAAAGCAGACAAGAAAGACTATATAAATTGTGTACTATTTATCTCTAAAAAAACAGAAAAATGTAGCGCTTGTAAAGCTCAATATTTACTTGTATGATAGTCTCTGAGGAATGTGTTCGGTATTGGTAACCAAGTGCAAACAAAGAGCTGTAAACTCAGCTCTAGTTGGTATCACTTTTGGATCCGTTTAGGCGATCCTCCCCTTATCAAAGTTTTTCTGCTGGGTCCGTATGGGTGGTTTTTCCTCTTCTTTGGTTAGTATCCCATATTGTAGTTTTAATCCTAAGAAGAGGGCAAAAAACACGGACAATTGCGCAGCACAATTTCGATTCTTTTATAAAATAATATAAAATCCCAAATGGGTACTTACAAGCCTGGAGTCAGATATTATGACTCAGTTTTCACGTATTGTGCAGTGTGGGACTGCACTCCCATCAGGCAAAGGCAGGGGCAGGTAAGTTAGGTAACTCCAGAAATTCGAATAATATTAAAATTGGCTTTATTTTAAAATAAAAGGGCATAGATATGCCTAAAATCTATTAATAAAACAAATAACATCAATATGTTAAAGTGTAGAAAACCAGAACGCGTTTCGCCACTATCCTGTGGCTTTTTCAACTGGATATATTAGTACAATATTACTGTTTGTTAGATACTCTTTAAATACCTGTTTTGGCGGCAAAAGGGTCCGTGCTGTCATCGTAACACGCTATTGCCACCCACAGGCAAAGCGTGTGCGGGTCAAGCCTCGGTCCCGTTTACATACATAATCAGCAAGTGAAATTCTCATACAATACCGGCAAGTGTAATCATCATTCTGCGATACAACGTAGCAAGCACCTCACATCATTAAAACGGCAGAATCAGTCTCTTTGTGATCTTGCCGTCGAATACTTATCAAAAACCGTTCCAAATATATCTTTTTAGTTCATCACTTATCGAAAGTGTTTTTAAATATTGTCCATACACATATTTGTTAATTACTTTAACCTGTGTTCACTCTGGATAACGGTATCAGTTTTCACTTCTCAAAAAGACATTTTTGTTATAATAAAACAGTTTTTCCATTATATCAAAAAATGTGGCATCTCATATAATAATTGTTATTCTACTTATTTCTCATCAAAACTGTTCTTTCACTAATCTCTCATATTTTCACATCCACCTTCTTTTTCTTTTCTTATTCCATCCTGTGTCCGATGCAATAAAGTTCATGCGAACAGAATCCCTTAGATAACCAGGGAATGTGTATTATAAATAAACAGAGAATGTATATTGCACATAATTCAGATAATCCATCCGGCTTCATAAATCCAAAAAACATAAAAACCTTAAGAAGCATAAAACTTATATATAAGAAATACAAAAAAATATCCCTATATAATCCAAAAGACATATACGAATTCATAAAAAGTGACATAATTCGAAATCTGAGTTTAAACCGTAGGGGATCAAAGTATTTAATTTATAAATCCACTCCATTTCTAGTTTACCCAACTCTCTAATAAAATCCCCCCCTCTCCAATTTCTGTTCAATTTGTAAATTCCCATAAAAACTATTTATCTCTGCTTCGTCACCCACCTTGAGAGGAAGTAAGGGTATGTTCTAGCGACTTGGATGCAAAAAGAAAGACTCTAACTAGTGGGATCACAAAATACAAAATCAGTGTAAAACAAACATGAGGCTACTCTCGACAAGCTGAGAGATTTAATCACCAAGCCAAGAGGTGTTATGAACCAACAATTTCAAGGTTGGAAATAGCTTTACAATATTCACACAAAAATTATAACATTAAATAAAATATCTCCTATGCAGTCAAGATGGAGTTCCAACTCCAACTGGCATTTTGGTCTTCATTGTATGAGTCAGTTGTCCACTTATGCAACCTTATGCTTAGTAAAAAGATCCTTGGATGGTGGGGAGAATCTACCCATTTACTCTGAAATCTCGAGATTGGAAAAATAATTATTTGACCTTAAGTGCACACGTACGGTGATAAATAAAGAGAACAAAACACATGTAGAATTTTAAATTTAAATTGGCACTATCATGCCAGACTTACCTTTCCCCAATCCCTTCCTCTTATCCCCCTCTCTCAGGATCTGTTCTTCTTTTCTTTCTGTCTTCTTTAGTTTTCTTTAAAATCATAAGACAAAGTAGGGACTGTTTGCCTTATGGAGGTTTCCTCCGCTTGACCAGCTTTGACCAGCAGAGGAGCAAAATGTGCTTCATTTCTGCTGGTCAGAGCAATTTTCCCATAATTCTTACCTTTCCTCTGTGATCTTGCGATGCTTCTTGTCCTTTTAGACGAAACTGCCGAATTGCGTTCTAACAGAATGAGAACAGTATGTTTGTTTCTTTTAGAACTCAATTCGGCACTTTGTTCGTATGGGAATTTTATTTGAATGAATGAAATTTAGATTCAATTTGTGCCGCGGCTGCATCTTGCAGCTGCTTAGTAGATAATTACCTAATTCCCAAGGTATCAGGGAGTTATCTACTAAAAGGCTGAAAGACCTAAATTGGTCTTTCAGCCACATTTACTAATGTAAACCCCCCCCCCAAAACCTATTGGCCCCCTCCCTGAGCGGTGGGTGGGGGCCATAATGGACAATCGGGGGGGGGACCTAATGTACTCCCCCCAGTCCCCTCCCCTGCGTGGTAGGTGGGGGCCATAAATTACAATGGGGGGACCTACTGTCCTCCCCCTTCCGGCCCCCACCCTTGAGCGGTGGGTAGGGGCAATAAAGATAATGAGGGGGGGACCTACAGTCCTCCCCCCTGGCCCCCACCCCTGGGCGGTGGGTGGGGGCCATAAAGATAATGAGGGGGGACCTACTGTCCTCCGCCCACCGTCTGCGCGGTGGGTGGGGGTCATAAATTACAATGGGGGGACCTGCTGTCCTCCCTCCGGCCTCCACCCTTGAGCGGTGGGTGGGGGCCAGAAAGATAATGAGGGGGGGGACCTACTGTCCTCCCCCCGGCCCCCACCCCT